TGGGTTCTGGTTAAAGCCAAGCCACTCTTGCCTCCTCTTGCCCAGCCAAGCCACTCTTGCCTCCTTTGGCAAGGCTCGTCCAGGGCCTGGCCTTGCTCATGCCTCACGAACATGCATGCATGCATTTTACTCGTCCAACTCAGGGCATACGATGAGACATACACACATTACTGCTCGCTTCCTTCCCTCCTGTCCCCTAGCTCGTTCAATACCTATGGGCCACAAGCCAGGCTCTTGGTGGAGTATGCTTGCATCACTTCTCAGAATCTTCAAAGGAGCCACGACCCGGACATTTAGTTCTGGCACTTGCTTTGCTCGGCTTGTGATGAGCCTGCTCTGTTCTTCTCAGCTCATGATGAGCCTGCTCTGTTCTTCTCAGCTCGTGATGAGCCTGCTCTGTTTTACTCAGCTCATGATGAGCCGCTCTGCTTTGCTCTGCTCATGATGAGCCTGCTCTGCTTTTCTCGGCGTGGCTCTGTTCAGAACGGTTTGAGTAGGGGACAAGACGAGCATACATACACAAAGCATGCTGGCTAAAAAATGCAGCCCTCCTCCTGGCTTGGCTCGCGATGAGCCTGCTCTGCTTCGTGCGGCCTGGCTTGTGTAAAGTACACGATGAGGTACGTATGCGATTTGTGATTAGAGTATTAGACTTGTGATTTGCAAGTATGTGAGGCCTGGCAACGACTTAAGCATCTGTTCTACTTGCCCGTCTGTTTGAGAAACTCACAAGTCAATCAGGCTCGGAAGGTTGCCAATAGTTGCTGGTATGGGGCCAGTCAAATTCCCATTCCACAAAATTCTGCAATTTGAAAAAGCAGGTAGTTGAGGCAGTGTTACAGAATAACCAATTTAGTGAACGCTTTTATGAATCGAAACTTTCTTTGTTTAGTAGAGGGACGAGACGAGGTCAAGAGGTGTTTCTAACAGGTGGGACTGCAAGAGAAGAGAAGGCAATCAATGCATACAACAGCTAAAGATGCACCCGACCAGAGGCAGCCAATTTGGTACAAACAGATTCTTGTACAAACAGATTCTTGTACAAACAGATTCCTGTACGAACAGATTCTTGTACAAACAGATTCCTGTACGAACAGATTCTTGTACGAACAGATTCTTGTACAAACAGATTCTTGCACAACCAGATTCTTGTACAAACAGATTCTTGTACAAACAGATTCCTGTACGAACAGATTCTTGTACAAACAGATTCCTGTACGAACAGATTCTTGTACAAACAGATTCCTGTACGAACAGATTCTTGTACAAACAGATTCTTGTACAAACAGATTCCTGTACGAACAGATTCTTGTACAAACAGATTCTTGTACAAACAGATTCTTGTACAAACAGATTCTTGTACAAACAGATTCCTGTACGAACAGATTCTTGTACAAACAGATTCCTGTACGAACAGATTGTTGTACAAACAGATTCCTGTACGAACAGATTCTTGTACAAACAGATTCTTGTACAAACAGATTCCTGTACGAACAGATTCTTGTACAAACAGATTCTTGTACAAACAGATTCCTGTACGAACAGATTCTTGTACAAACAGATTCCTGTACGAACAGATTCATGTACAAAGAGATTCTTGTACAAACAGATTCCTGTACGAACAGATTCTTGTACAAACAGATTCTTGTACAAACAGATTCTTGTACAAACAGATTCTTGTACAAACAGATTCCTGTACGAACAGATTCTTGTACAAACAGATTCCTGTACGAACAGATTCTTGTACAAACAGATTCCTGTACGAACAGATTCTTGTACAAACAGATTCTTGTACAAACAGATTCCTGTACGAACAGATTCTTGTACAAACAGATTCTTGTACAAACAGATTCTTGTACAAACAGATTCTTGTACAAACAGATTCTTGTACAAACAGATTCCTGTACGAACAGATTCTTGTACAAACAGATTCTTGTACAAACAGATTCTTGTACAAACAGATTCTTGTACAAACAGATTCCTGTACGAACAGATTCTTGTACAAACAGATTCTTGTACAAACAGATTCTTGTACAAACAGATTCTTGTACAAACAGATTCCTGTACGAACAGATTCTTGTACAAACAGATTCTTGTACAAACAGATTCTTGTACAAACAGATTCTTGTACAAACAGATTCTTGTACAAACAGATTCCTGTACGAACAGATTCTTGTACAAACAGATTCTTGTACAAACAGATTCTTGCACAACCAGATTCTTGTACAAACAGATTCTTGTACAAACAGATTCCTGTACGAACAGATTCTTGTACAAACAGATTCCTGTACGAACAGATTCTTGTACAAACAGATTCCTGTACGAACAGATTCTTGTACAAACAGATTCTTGTACAAACAGATTCCTGTACGAACAGATTCTTGTACAAACAGATTCTTGTACAAACAGATTCTTGTACAAACAGATTCTTGTACAAACAGATTCCTGTACGAACAGATTCTTGTACAAACAGATTCCTGTACGAACAGATTGTTGTACAAACAGATTCCTGTACGAACAGATTCTTGTACAAACAGATTCTTGTACAAACAGATTCCTGTACGAACAGATTCTTGTACAAACAGATTCTTGTACAAACAGATTCCTGTACGAACAGATTCTTGTACAAACAGATTCCTGTACGAACAGATTCGTGTACAAAGAGATTCTTGTACAAACAGATTCCTGTACGAACAGATTCTTGTACAAACAGATTCTTGTACAAACAGATTCTTGTACAAACAGATTCTTGTACAAACGGATTCCTGTACGAACAGATTCTTGTACAAACAGATTCCTGTACGAACAGATTCTTGTACAAACAGATTCCTGTACGAACAGATTCTTGTACAAACAGATTCTTGTACAAACAGATTCCTGTACGAACAGATTCTTGTACAAACAGATTCTTGTACAAACAGATTCTTGTACAAACAGATTCTTGTACAAACAGATTCCTGTACGAACAGATTCTTGTACAAACAGATTCCTGTACGAACAGATTCTTGTACAAACAGATTCCTGTACGAACAGATTCTTGTACAAACAGATTCTTGTACAAACAGATTCCTGTACGAACAGATTCTTGTACAAACAGATTCTTGTACAAACAGATTCTTGTACGAACAGATTCTTGGACAAACAGATTCTTGGACAAACAGATTCTTGGACAAGCAGATTCTTGGACAAACAGATTCTTGGACAAACAGATTCTTGGACAAACAGATTCTTCTCCTCGTTCAGACAGCTCTGAAGCTGCCTCCGACTAGAAAAACCCATCAAGCAGAAAAACACACTTAAAAAAAAAAACCCTTTTAAGATGCCTTTTAAGGCGCATCAAGCAGAAACCCAGGTGGGGATATCACTCACAAGTGGTCAAGGCTTTGGAGATTGCTGATGGAGTCCGGGATTGAGCCGCCGTTCAAGTTGACATCTGAAATACTTCTGAGGAGTGGACATTGGATTGGAACGGAGGTGAGGGTGGTTGCAAGTGTATTGGTGGAGATAGGATATGTTGCATTTGCATGTATGTTTGTGATGTGATTATGCCACCGTTCATGAGGAGGGAAGGGAGAGAGGGGATAAGTGGGGAGAGAGGAGCGACTGACGGACAGAGCAAGGCACTGAAGAGGGAAAGGGGGGCTGGGGGCTAAGGGACTGGGGATTGGAGGAGGAAGGGAGGAAAGGCTGAAAGGAGCGGTGACAGCCATGAGAAATGAGTAGAGCCGTGGGTCACCTGGAGTGTATTCTTGAGCCATGTCATGCCACGCCGTGGAATGCCATGCCAAGCCGTGCAATGCCATGCCGTGCCGTGCAATGCCATGCCGTGCCGTGCAATGCAGTGCCATGCCATGCCATGCCGTGCAATGCCATGCCGTGCCGTGCAGTGCAGTGCCATGCCATGCCACCCCGTGCATTGCCATGCCGTGCCGTGCAATGCAGTGTCATGCCATGCCATGCCGTGCAATGCTATGCCATGCGGAGCAATGCCATGCATGACGTGCCATGCCGTGCTATGACTTACTGTGCCATGACATGCCATCCGAGCAATGCCATGCAATGTCGTGTCGCGCCGCCGCCATGCCATGATGTGCCATGCCTTGCCATCCCATGCCATGCCATGCCGTGCCATGCCATGCCATGCCATGCCGTGCCATGCCATGCAATGCCGTGCCATGCCGTGCAATGCCATGCAATGCCATGCCTTGCCATGCCATGTCATGCCATGCCATGCCATGCCATGCCGTGCTGTGCCATGCCATGCCATGCCAAGCAATGACGTGCCATGCCATGCCATGCCATACCAAGCCATGAGCCATGCCGTGCTGTGCCGTGCCGTGCCATCCTGTGCAATGCCGTGCCACGATACCACGCCACGCCATGCCATGCTATGCCGTTTGGTTGCAATGAGAGTCAGCTACTGAGCTAGTAGTGATGTTTTCCAGAGCAAGGGAACGAGTTAGTGAAGTAGAGAGGAACCATGGTCCCTGTTTATTGAAGCATCAGAGTCCTGCGCTCACTCGCATGCCTTTATCATCTCACTCAGTGAGGTCCATTCGCGTGTGACGCATCAGGGTGCACTCACATCTCCGTTATCATGCCCTCGGGGTTGCGCTCGAGGCTGCTCGCTTTGTCCGGGTGACTTTTGAGTCGACTCAAAGGAGTATCAGGGTGCAGTGCACTCACATCTCCGTTATCATGCCCTGGGAATTGCACTTGAGGCCACTCGCATTGTCGCAGTCCCCACCAGCCACCCAGCCATCGATCGTTGTGCCCCACGCCTTCTGACAATCCAGCAGGACTTGCGCTGGCAGCAGGATGGGGGGAAGAAGGGTGTGTCAGAGAGGTGAGAAGAGCAGCGATTGGATGACAGGCCATTGCATGCCCTCCCACATCTCATCACATGTCCTCCTCTCATCACATGTCCTCCTCTCATCACATGTCCTCCTCTCATCACATGCCCTCCACCTCTCCCGTCACAATCCCTCCCACCTCATCACATGTCCGTTCTGGCCCTCCCCTACCTCCTCGGCCCTCCCCTCCTCCCCTCCCCTCCCATCCCCTCTCCCGCCTCCAACCACCTCTCCCCTTCTTCCCCTTCCCTCCCCCTCGCCTCCCCTCCCCTCTTTCTCGCCCTCCCCTCCCCTCCCTCCCTCCCCTCCCCTCCCCTCCCCTCCCTCCCCTCCCCTCCCCTCCCTCCCCTCCCTCCCTCCCCTCCCCTCCCCTCCCCTCCCCTCCCCTCCCCTCCCCTCCCCTCCCCTCCCCTCCCCTCCCCTCCCCTCCCCTCCCCTCCCCTCCCCTCCCCTCCCCTCCCCTCCCCTCCCCTCCCCTCCCCTCCCCTCCCCTCCCCTCCCCTCCCCTCCCTCCCCTCCCCTCCCCTCCCCTCCCCTCCCCTCCCTCCCCTCCCCTCCCCTCCCCTCCCCTCCCCTCCCCTCCCCTCCCCTCCCTCCCCTCCCCTCCCCTCCCCTCCCCTCCCCTCCCCTCCCCTCCCCTCCCCTCCCCTCCCTCCCCTCCCCTCCCCTCCCCTCCCCTCCCCTCCCCTCCCCTCCCCTCCCCTCCCCTCCCCTCCCCTCCCCTCCCCTCCCCTCCCCTCCCCTCCCTCCCTCCCCTCCCCTCCCCTCCCCTCCCCTCCCCTCCCCTCCCCTCCCCTCCCCTCCCCTCCCCTCCCCTCCCCTCCCCTCCCCTCCCCTCCCCTCCCCTCCCCTCCCCTCCCCTCCCCTCCCCTCCCCTCCCCTCCCCTCCCCTCCCCTCCCCTCCCTCCCCTCCCCTCCCCTCCCCTCCCCTCCCCTCCCCTCCCCTCCCCTCCCCTCCCCTCCCCTCCCCTCCCCTCCCCTCCCCTCCCCTCCCCTCCCCTCCCCTCCCCTCCCCTCCCTCCCCTCCCCTCCCCTCCCCTCCCCTCCCCTCCCCTCCCCTCCCCTCCCCTCCCCTCCCCTCCTCTCCTCTCCTCTCCCCTCCTCTCCCCTCCTCTCCTCTCCTCTCCCTCTCCTCTCCTTCTCCTCTCCTCTCCTCCTCTCCTCTCCTCTCCTCTCCCCTCCACTCCTCTCCTCTCCTCCTCTCCACCCCTATCCTACGATCACTTCTACTATCCTCCTCTCGATTCGAATGCCGTTTCGACTACGCAATTCAATGATGTGTCTCCCTGCACGAAACAGTTGATTTTGATCTGATTCATAAATGAGTGTGACCCAAAATGAGTTTCCACACGCCATGATGGCAATGGAGACCGATGCCGCGGAACGGCAGTGCAAGTGTCCGCTAAATCCGCTAATTCTATCAAATGCGGCTCGGTGAGTCCAACCTAATCGAGGCGCGTGACGCGGGCGGCCGCAAGAGCTTCGACTTCAAGCTGAAGTCGGCGTCGCGTGCTGACTCAATGGCACAATAGTTTGAATGAACCCAAGAAAAACTAAAATCACGCGACAGGTCGTAAAACAGACAAATGTTGGTAGCGATATCGCGATTCCACAGCACGCACCTTGGGACTTGGCGAGAAGCACGCATTCGACGCGTGAGACCGCGCGACATGTCAGCAGCAGCGCGCCGAGCAGAAGGGCTGCTGCGGGCTTCATTACGTTCCAATGGTTGAGGCAAGAGAGATCCTCACTGCAGATAAGTATCGCTTTGCCTGAAATATCTGCTGAAAGAGGGCACCAGCAGAAGCGTGGATGATGGAGGTGGTTGTGTGTGAGGGTGGTTCAGAAATGGTTGGCGGTGTTGTTTGTTTTGTTGTTGGACATCAGCGACTTCAATCGCAGTTGAAAGGGTGGCATTTTGTGTTGCGAAAACAAAAATTGGTTCGAAACTGGTCGGTGAAGGCAGCGCCACCGTGGCCAATGGCCTGCGGTGGGGGTGACTGGGGGCTGGCGTGAAATCTAATTTCACATGTGTGTCGGTGGAAGCAGGGAGTGATGATGAGCGATGATGGGTTGGCGTGGGTTGGGGATCGTTGACCTGTGAGCTCATGGTACAGTACTTGGCGGACCTAAACATTGGCTGTTTCACACCCGACAGGACACTTGTTACGGATGCCGTGTCACATCAGTCATTTGGTTTGATTTTACCGTGTCTGCGTAACATGCAGCAAATCTTTCAACTAATTATTTTGTACACTTAGTAGGTAAAAATTGTACAACTTAACATAGCTTTCTTATTAATGACACTCATAAAAAACGGTTTCTACCACTGTTCTGGCAACACCTTACTTCATTGCAAGTACATAAATTCATCTTCAAGGGCCACTGCTTCGTTACCTGACACGATGAGGTCAAAATGCCAGAGGAAATAAAGCGCAGACCTTTAGAGTCAAAACTAGGCACATGATTTGAGCTACCGTAATTATCTTAGCTGATAAAAAAAAAAAAAAAACGACAACAAATGGTACAATATGATTCAAGCCCAGTGTGGCCAATGAAAACCGCGCCTATAGAAATACCGGGTTTACCCATGTGCCGAGCAGTAGAATATGGCGGCCGAAGGAAGGTAGATACAGGAAACAGATGCATTGACAAACAAGCGGGTTCAAATAGGAAATGTTCAAATGACGAATACTACAATACAGTGTCTACACCTCATCAGAGTGCCAACCAGTAGCACAAGGCGGCACGGCAATGAACTCATCGAAATCATTCACAAATACTCCGTAGCATTGCCACTGGGGAAGAAGAAAAGGGTGGACGGGTGGGAGGAGTGGAAGCATGATGATGGTTGTGAGCACCGGGATGGGCAGAGGAAGACTCAACAGAATCAATCACACTAACTCCGAAGCATTGCCACTGGAGAAGAAATGGGTGGAGGGAGAGAAAACGTAGAGAATGGAGGGGTGGAAGAATGATGATGGGTGTGAGCAACAGCATTGGAACAGAAGGAAGGAACGGAAAGGAACTCACTATAAATTACTCAAAGACACTCTGTAGCATCGCCATTGAGAAAAATGCGAACAGGTGCAGGGGTGGGGGAAGGAGTGGTGGGTGAGAGCATGGGCATGGGCATGAGCAGACGAGGAAGGGGTGATTAAGGCTACTTACCAGCAATCCAATCGCACACTCCAAGTTATGCGCTTACTGCACTTGACGATCCGACCAACTCGTTGCTTGTCTTTCTTCCAAGTGTCACAACTTGTGCGAGTACTGTGCGATCCGGACATGGCTCAGTGAGCTGCGTGCAGTAGGCTCGACTCAAAAATCGCCTCAACTTGTGCGAGTACTGTGCTTACACCTCACTTACAAGGCATGCAGCGCAACTGTGCTTACACCTCACTTACAAAGGCATGCAGCGCAACTATGCTTACACCTCACTTACAAAGGCATGCAGCGCAACAAACATATCCTCGCACGCTCGCACCTCACTTGCCTCCTGTTCAAGATCACCCCTCCCCTCACTGAACTGAATCACCCCTTGAAATTTCACTCACCCCTGCACCCTCAACTCGCCCCACCACCCTCAACACACCCCGGCACCCTCAACGCACCCCTCACTTTCTGTCGTGGAAAACAGCAGGCCCCGGGTGGTGCTTGCATGCGCCATCAGAGTTGTCAATCTCCCGGTACTTGGCGCCACACCCCTTGTTGCTGCACGTGCGCTCCGCATTGATGTCCCACGATGGCGGCCGGGGGGGCTGGCGGGGGGCGGCCGCAGATGAACCTGCAGGGTGTAGAGAGGAGTGGGTGTCAGAAGGGGAAAATCAAAGAGAGGATTGTCAATCTCCCAGTACTTGGCGCCACACCCCTTGTTGCTGCACGTGCGCTCCGCATTGATGTCCCACGCAGGTGGCCGGGAGGGCTGGGGGGGAGCGGCAGCAGAGGAAGCTGCAGGGTGTATGGAGAAGGGGAGGGAGGGAATTAAGTGGCTTTCCTAATTTCCCTTTTCAGTCGACAAATATAGGATTTGAGTTTCCTCGCAACTTGATTGACACTGATGGGGGCACGAAAGAGAGAGTTGTCAATCTCTCTGTATTCAACGCCACACCCCTTGTTGCTGCACGTGTGCCCTGCATTGATGTCCCACGATGGTGGGCGGGGGGGTTGTGCGGGAGCAGCAGCAGATGAGGCTGCAGGGTGCAGGGAGGAGAGGGAAAAGGGACCAAAGCTTGGATTGACTCGTTTCTTTCTCTCATTCGTTTTCCCATGTATAAGCTCTCGATTTGCATCAAAATTGCAAGGCGTGAAATGACACACAAAATTTCATTTTCTCCTGTCAGCCCAGAAAACAATTGTCGGGCATCGCGCATAAAAAAGCATATCAAGCGTCAGACATGATGGCTGCACGCCACACGCCAATGCCTGCACTGCACATCCTGGAGTACTGGGATCGTGATTACATGCACCAGGACATGGCATGTAATCATGATCAACAGCAACAGCAACAGCACATGCCCATTGCCATCTCACCTTGCTGTGCTTTTGAGACGTCTCAAAACACCAGCAGCACGTGCCTGGCTCACTCGCCTTGGCATGCACTGTGATCAGAGCAGAGCAGAAGACACTCTGAGAGCACCAATTGCATGCACGCTGCCTTTTCAGTCGACGAACAAGTCACCCGGTGTGCTGGAATTAGGATGACACGCACCACAGCGCGTAGATGTCACCTTGGCGGGCACCAGCACGTGCCCATTGCCATCTCACCTTGCCGTGCACTGTGATCGGAGCAGAAGAAGCCCTGAGAGCACCGATTGCATGCTGCCTGCTGCTGCCACTCAAAAGTCACCTGGCGCACTCGGATCATGAGTACATGCAGCAGCACATGCCTATCTCACTAACCTTGCCGTGCACTGTGATCGGCGCAGAAGAAGCCCTGAGAGCACCGATTGCACGCTACCTGCTGCTGCCACTCAAAAGTCACCTGGCGCACTCGGATCATGAGTACATGCAGCAGCACGTGCCTATCTCACTAACCTTGCCGTGCACTGTGATCGGAGCAGAAGAAGCCCTGAGAGCACCGATTGCACGCTGCCTGCTGCTGCCACTCAAAAGTCACCTGGCGCGCTCGGATCATGAGTACATGCAGCAGCACATGCCTATCTCACTAACCTTGCCGTGCACTGTGATCGGAGCAGAAGAAGCCCTGAGAGCACCGATTGCACGCTGCCTGCTGCTGCCACTCAAAAGTCACCTGGCGCACTCGGATCATGAGTACATGCAGCAGCACGTGCCTATCTCACTAACCTTGCCGTGCACTGTGATCGGCACAGAAGAAGCCCTGAGAGCACCGATTGCACGCTGCCTGCTGCTGCGAAGATGCTGCTGCTGATGCTGCCGATGGTGCTGCCTCTGCTGCTGCTCCTGCTGCGCGGATTGGTGATGGTGTTGGTGTTGGTGGTGCTGGCGATGGTGCTGAAGGGGTGAGTGGTTTGGGTTTCTCTGTGGTGTGCTTCCCGCGCTTGCAGCTGAAAGAAAGAGGGGGCAAGGCAAGAGAAGAAGGCTTATTAGGCGCCTCAAAAGCTGGCGATGGTGCTGCAGGGGTGAGCGGTTTGGGTTTCCCTGTGGTGTGCTTACCGCGCTTGCAGCTGAAATGAAACCATGGGGAGGCAAGGTAAGAGCGGACGGTTGGGGACAAAACGCACGTGAATCAAGTGCGAATACAAATAAGCACAGTCACCAGATTCTGATACACACATGCACCCAGGAGGAACACATAGATGCCACTCCGCAACCGGGGAAGAAAAAAAACATGGATATGAGTCCTGCCAAAAGCACGAGTGCCAAGATAATCTGGAATGAATTGCGCGCTTTATTCTGGTGTGAATCTGACTGATTGCATGCGATGCGTTACCCTGGGATGGAGAGGAAGAGCGAGAAATCGTGGCTTCGCCTGTGACAGCACATCCACTCCTTGGTGCCGTCGTGGAATATAGGCTGAGAAAGGAAGCAAGGAATTGGGGGGGAGGAAGCAGGAGCAGAGGGTGACTCAGAAGCTCAGGCTTCGCTTGTGGCAACACATCCACTCCTTGGTGCTGTCGTGGAATACTGGCTGTTGTGGGAAAGGCGGGGAGTGGGAGGGAGAGGGGGAGAGGGGGAAAGGGAGGGAGAGGGGGAGTGGGGGGGAAAGGAGGGAGAGGGGGGAAAGGGAGGGAGAGGGGGAGAGGGGGGAAAAGGAGGGGGAGGGGGGAAAGGGAGGGAGAGGGGGAGAGGGGGGAGCAGAGAGTGACTCGGAATTTGAGTCGCTTGTGGCAACACATCCAATCCTTGGTGCTGTCGTGGAATATTGGCTGAGGATGGAAGCCGAGGGGGAGAGTGAGAGGGAGCGGCGGGAGCAGAGAGTGACTAAGAACTGCAGGCTTCGCTGTTGCCAGCACACCCACTCCTTGGTGCCGTCGTGGAACACTGGCTGAAAGGGGGAGAAGGGAGACAGGGGTGTGGGAGACCGAAAGGGAGCAGAGAGTGACTCAAAACTGCAGGCTTCGCTGTTGGCAGCACACCCACTCCCTCCCTCCTAGGTGCTGTTGTGGAATACTGGTTGTTGGTGAGAAGGGGGGGCATTGGCGGGGAGCCAAGGGGAAGAGGGGGAGGGAGAGGGAGGGGAAGAAGAAGTGGTCAAGAGAGGCGAGAGGGAACTAGCATCCCTGAAGTTCAGACACGTGTAACCAGCCAGCCCATCTGCCCCTCTGCCCCGTGTTTGAAATAATGGTTTGAGACGTCTCAAAACATTACTTCAAACACGAGAGGGAACTAGCATCCCTGAAGTTTAGACAGATGCAACCAGCCCATCTACCCACCTGCCCAGCATACCGGCTGATTGAAGAGCATACCGGCTGATTGAAGAGCATACCGGCTGATTGAAGAGCATACCGGCTGATTGAAGAGCATACCGGCTGATTGAAGAGCATACCGGCTGATTGAAGAGCATACCGGCTGATTGAAGAGCATACCGGCTGATTGAAGAGCATACCGGCTGATTGAAGAGCATACCGGCTGATTGAAGAGCATACCGGCTGATTGAAGAGCATACCGGCTGATTGAAGAGCATACCGGCTGATTGAAGAGCATACCGGCTGATTGAAGAGCATACCGGCTGATTGAAGAGCATACCGGCTGATTGAAGAGCATACCGGCTGATTGAAGAGCATACCGGCTGATTGAAGAGCATACCGGCTGATTGAAGAGCATACCGGCTGATTGAAGAGCATACCGGCTGATTGAAGAGCATACCGGCTGATTGAAGAGCATACCGGCTGATTGAAGAGCATACCGGCTGATTGAAGAGCATACCGGCTGATTGAAGAGCATACCGGCTGATTGAAGAGCATACCGGCTGATTGAAGAGCATACCGGCTGATTGAAGAGCATACCGGCTGATTGAAGAGCATACCGGCTGATTGAAGAGCATACCGGCTGATTGAAGAGCATACCGGCTGATTGAACAGCATACCGGCTGATTGAAGAGCATACCGGCTGATTGAAGAGCATACCGGCTGATTGAAGAGCAAGGGATGATGCGAGAGTTGATGTCAACAGCAGCAGGTGTTGTTGTGGTAGAAAGTGAATTTTTGAAACGTCTCAAAGATTCTATTTCTCTCCGTGCATCCGCTGAAGAGCATACCGGCTGATCGAAGAGCAAGGGATGATGCGAGAGTTGACGCCAAGAGCAGCAGGTGTTGTTGTTGTTGTGGGCCGATCACACCGTCACGCCATGAATTTCAACCCGTACACCCCATGCGGCGTGGGCAGGGGGGGGGGCGGAAGATTGGAGAGCGAACAGGTGAATTAGATAGACGCGTAGAAGAATGGGGCACGTGGTACGATGGGACATGCGATGGGGCATGGGGTGCAATGGGTAGGGCATGGGGAAGGGAGGGGGAAGATTGGAAAGAGATGATCAGGTGAATTAGGCAATGCAGGGGCCAGGAATGGAGCATGTGCGATGGGGTATGTGATGTCAGGGTTTGGGGTATGCGATGGGATGGGGTATGCGATGGGATGGGGTATGCGATGGGATGGGGCATGCGATGGGATGGGGTATGCGATGGGATGGGGTATGTGATGCGATGGGGTATGCGATGGGATGGGGTATGTGATGCGATGGGGTATGTGCGATGGGGTATGTGCGATGGGGTATGCGATGCGATGGGTTATGCGATGCGATGGGGTTAGTGCTGCGATGGTGCATGCGATGGGGCATGCGACGAAACATGCGACGGCACAGATCGCTCACATTGCTGGGCGACGTCAGCGGTACGACACAGGCAAAGCTAGGCGCAACAGTCAGAGCCTCTTGAGACGCGACAAGAGGCTCGTGCGACAAGAGACTCGCGCGACAAGAGAGTCGCGCGACTGTTATAACCTGGTTATTACCATACGCCAAAACACGTGTGAGGGTTTTTACCCCTGGATGGTAGCAACAGCTCGTGTCGTCGTTTTCTGCGTCCGCGAAATACGCGTCACAACCGATCCTCTCGCACCGATTCCTCCCCTCCGCGTTTATCGCGGGCGACATGGCGGATACTTATACAACAGAGCGAAACAGGGCGACACGGCGACAGGGCGATAGGGCGTAACGCTGTTTTATTGTAACACCTCGCTACCCACTGGGTCAAAACGAGGGTGTTATTTGGCGCAGCGGAGTGCCCTTAACACAGCCCACAGGCGTTACACTCGTCCCCCCCTGGTGCCAACGTCCCCGTTGGCCTTGGACTTCAGGAAGTCGGCCCCCTGCCGCTGGGACCTAGATTTCGCAGTGCTGCTGGCTGCGACTTCGCTGGTTGCTCAGGCCAGCGGAGGATCGTTCGCTGGGTTCGAGCTGGTTACAACCGCACTTCAGTTCTCGCCAAAGGCGGAAAGTGTGGTCCAGCCGGGATTCGAACCCTAGGCTCTGATTCCAAATGTAACACCTCGCTACCCACTGGTCAAAACGAGGGTGTTATTTGGCGCAGCGGAGTGCCCTTAACACAGCCCACAGGCGTTACATTTATCCTTTGAGATCGGCGAGCTGATATTACACTCACGCAGCGCCACTAGTCCACACGCGCGTCCACCACAGGCGGCATGGCAGGAATACTTATACAGAAACAAGGTCGCCAAGCAAAGGGATGAGAAGAGAGCGTGGGGGAAGAAGCGCCTGGATCTCCCGATAGAGCAGCGCTTCGGCTGGTGACGTTTAGGATCGTGTGACTGTCCTGTCAATTGTCGAAACTGACACGATAAGAGTGGACTCGCGTGGATCGGACCAGGAAAGTTCCAGCTTGCTACACTCGACCGAAGGCGAACTTTACTTTATTTATTAATGTTCTAACAATATGTTTTACCACAACCACATTTGGAAAGGACTATTCTGTGGTTGTATCTCATCATCCACGATTATTGCCTTCACGATTACACTTGATTCACGGTATTATATATACCGTGGTAAAATTATATACAAGTTTGGCAAAGTTTCCATTTCAGAGCATGACATGGACAAGCGAAAAGGGTTACCATTACCACCACTCGCTGACAAGGGCTGCGGTACCTACCGCCCGCTGAAAAGGATTACCTACCTACCGCCCATCCTCTCATATCGACACTGCCATGCCAACCACTCCTGTTATCCCTTCCCCCAGCCCGCCCCCTTCTCACCCTATGAGGCCCAACCCCCACGCCTTAGTCTCGTGCCATCCTACAAGGCCCCGGCTCCCATGCCTTGCTTCAGGCCACACTGTGCAGGCTATGCCATGCCAAAGTCTCCCTGCCTAACGGCCTATGCTGCCTGCGGCGACTCACACGCAGCCTGACACTGACCCCGTTTGAGCATCATCTGCCCCTCAATGGGGGCTTCTGAAGCAATTTCCTACACCTACGTTCCTACCCCTGTGCCACTGCCACCCGTCCCACTGCCACCCCATTGCACTCCTGCTCTTTCTGCTCCTCCAGCTCCCCCCTTTCCACTCAATGCGCCCATCCTCCTCCTCCTCCTCCTCCTCCTCCTCCTCCTCCTCCTCCTCCTCCTCCTCCTCCTCCTCCTCCTCCTCCTCCTCCTCCTCCTCCTCCTCCTCCTCCTCCTCCTCCTCCTCCTCCTCCTCCTCCTCCTCCCCCTCCTCCTACTCTCCCCCCACCAGCAGCATCGATCTCCTTCAGTTTTTGCACCACGACGCTCATCTCAGGCCGTTTGCTCGGCTCCTCCTGGCTGCACTGCAGCGCCACCAGCAGCAGCCTCTTTGCTGCACCCGCTGAGAACTGCCCCTTCAGCCGTGGGTCCACCACATGGCCTATATGAAACCCTTCCGCCTTCCTCCCCCCCTGCTGCTGCTGCTCTTCATTACCCCCTCCTCCTGCTTCTGCTGCTGCCGCTGCTGCTGATGCTGAGTCTCCCCCTCCCCCCCCTTTTCTACCTCGCGCCAGCTGCTTGTGGATCCAGGGGAAGAGGCGGTTGTGTGTGGCGGTGGTGGCGGGGGATCGGCCGGTGAGGAGCTCGAGGAGAACCACGCCCAGGGAGAAGACATCGCTCAGAGGGGTGAGGTGACCTGAGGGATGGGGAGGGGGGATGAAGTTACTTTTGAGTCGACTCAGAAGTCACCTCGGCCGGTGAGCAGCTCGAGGAGGACAACGCCCAGAGAGAACACATCGCTTAGCGGGGTGAGGTGACCTGGAGGGGTGGTGACGCATGGGAGAGGGTGACAAGGTGGGGGAGGGGAAGCTGGTGAGCAGCTCGAGGAGAACCACGCCCAGAGAGAAGACATCGCTCAGAGGGGTGGGGTGACCTGGAGGGGCGGTGACGCATGAGAGAGGGTGACAAGGTGGGGGAGGGGAAGCTGGTGAGCAGCTCGAGGAGAACCCGAGAGAAGACATCGCTCAGCGGGGTGAGGTGACCTGGAAGGGGGGAAGGGGAGGAGCGCGTTGAGTAGTTGATGCACGCACAGGAAGGGCAGAGAAGCGGGGAGAGGATGGAGATGTGGGAGAGGGGGACGGGAAGTGGAAAAGAGAAATTGGAGAAGCATCAACGAACCGAGTGAGATGGCCTGGTAGGGTGGGTGCACACTCCACATGACACCAGCTGGTTTTTGAGAAATTGGAGGAGCATTCTCAAAGAACCATCTTTCCACACATGGCCTGGTGGAGTGGGTCTACACACATTCCACACGACGCCATCGAACATGCATGCTTCCAGTCCTCGTCATTCCTAGTTGGCACACGCATCCCGTGTACACGTTACAAGCTCCTCCCACCCGTTTCGTTATAAGCAGGACTGGCATAAGCATGTCGAGTAGAGGTACGTCGAGGTGCTCTAATGCGATTAGAAACCCCGTCGTCCCCTTTGTAACATAACAATGATGCCTACATACCCCAACTGTGTCGGTATAGTGAAATTAATGATACCCCATTGTGCCCATAATGCGAGTCCACACATGCATCTTTCCTTCCTCCCCTCCTCCCATCCATTCCCTATAGGCAGAAATCATATTCTCGTTACAAGCCTGCCCACCTGTATCGATATACTCGAGGTACCCCAGGGGCATAAACCATATACTCTATACAAGCCTGCCCACCTGTGTCGATATAATCACAGTCGAGTCCAGGTACCTCGTGATCTCTGACAAAATAAAATGCACACTTTCCCCCAACTCCCCTCCTCCACTCCATACCAGAAAACATGAAAATATCCGCGTTACAAGCCTCCCCACCTGTGTTGATATAGTCAGGGTCGAGGTACCCCAGGCCAGGGTGCCCATAATGCTTGTCGACATGTGCGTCTTGCTGCTCACTACCCCGCAATCCATCCTAATCCATCTCCACCGTACTGCACCGCACCGAATCCCTCCCCACCTGTATAGATATAGTCAGGGTCGAGGTACCCCAGGGTGCCCATTATGCGAGTTGAAACGTGTGTCTTGCCCTCCTCTGGTCCCCGTGTGGCCATGCCAAAGTCCGTCACCTTGGCTCTCAGCTCCTGCGGAAAAAGATATGGTAGGAGGCGGAAAGGTGGGAGGGGGTCAAGGGGGCAACAGATGTGGAGTCTTGCCCTCCTCCGGTCCCCGTGCGGCCATGCCAAAATCCGTCACCTTGGCTCTCAGCTCCTGCCAACATACATATGGGATGGGAAGAGTGGGGTGGAGGGGTGATGGGGTTCAAGGGGGGGATTTGAGCAACCGATGTGGTTTCTTGCCCTCCTCTGGACCCCACGTCACCATGCCAAAATCCGTCACCTTGGCTCTCAGCTCCTGGTATCACAAACTGAATACGTGTGGGAGAAGAGGGGGGAGAGGAGATGAGGTGGGATAAACACATTGAGTCGCTGCAAGTCCAGCCATGCCCATGGTATCGTTCGATCCTAGTTTCCCACTTACCCCTCCTTCCCTCCCACTCACCCTGTCGGGCAGCACTTGAAGGGGCTTGAAATCCTGGTGAATGATGGTCTGCCCATAAAGATACGCCAAGCCAAGCCAAGCCCAGACAAGTGAGCTCTTCCCCAACACACCCACAATCCCTCTTACACTGTCCAGCATGGCATTGTGTGACTTGAAGTCCCGGTGAGGTGATTGATGTTCTACCCGTGCAGATACGCCAGCAGGACCATGCAAGGGCCCACCAACATACGGCTCATTCCTCAGCATCCCTCCCCAGCAACATCCCCTCCGCCTTACGCTGTCCTGCATCACATTGTGTGACTTGAAGTCCCGGTGAGGTGAATGACGCTCTACCTGTGCAGATTTGCCATGCCCTCCGCCATGCCCAGCGCTCCACATATATCAGATGGAAATTCATAGAAGCCACCTGCAGACCCCCCTTCCAACTTACACTGTCCAGCATGACGTTGTGGGACTTGAAGTCGCGGTGAATGATATTCTGCCCGTGCAGGTACGCCAGGCCCTCCGCCATGCCCACTGCCACCTGCACACGCTGCTCCCATGTCAGGCACGGGCTGTCCGGGGAGAGGTCTGGAGGGGAGGATCGACAAGGAAGAGGGGGAGAGGGGGTTGGGGAAGGAGAGGTAGTCACGAATTGCTGGGAAGAAGATATGCCGGGCCAGGCCCTCGGCCATGCCCACTGCCACCTGCACCCTGTGACATCGTAGCGAGTTGACTTTTGAGTCGACTCAAAAGTCAACTTGCACCCGCTGCTCCCATGTCAGGCATGGGCTGTGTGGAGAGAGGTCTGGAGGAATGATTGGTGGGGTAGGAGGAAGGGAGTTAGTTAGAATTGGTCGGAAGCAGATGCGCCAAGGCAAGCCCTCGCTCGTGCCCAGCCTCCTGTACTCAGCTGAATTTTGAGTCGACTCAGAAGTGTACTCGCTGCTCCCATGTCAGGCACCGGCTTCCTGGGGAGATGGAAGGATCGTTGGTGTGGTGTGGAGGAGGAGCAGTTAGAGGGGAAGAGAGGGGCTGGGGAAGGGAGGCAGCTAAGGATCGGTTGGAAGCAGATATGTCAACCAGCCCCTCGCTCATGCCCAGCCACCCGTACTTGCTGCTCCCATGTCAGGCACCGGCTGTTAAAACGAGAGGTCTGGAGGGATGGTCAGGGTGGTGGGGAGGATCGACAGGGGGGAGGAAAGGTGGGGGGAGGGGAGGAAGAGAGGTAGTTAGGGATTGGTAGTAAGTGAACAGCTCAACCAAGTGAACAGCTCAACCAAGTGAACAGCTCAACCAAGTGAACAGCTCAACCAAGTGAACAGCTCAACCAAGTGAACAGCTCAACCAAGTGAACAGCTCAACCAAGTGCACAGCTCAACCAAGTGCACAGCTCAACCAAGTGCATAGCTCAACCAAGTGCACAGCTCAACCAAGTGCACAGCTCAACCAAGTGAACAGCTCAACCAAGTGAACAGCTCAACCAAGTGCACAGCTCAACCAAGTGAAAAGCTCAACCAAGTGCACGGCTCAACCAAGTGAACAGCTCAACCAAGTGCACAGCTCAACCAAGTGCACAGCTCAACCAAGTGCACAGCTCAACCAAGTGAACAGCTCAACCAAGTGCACAGCTCAACCAAGTGCACAGCTCAACCAAGTGAACAGCTCAACCAAGTGAACAGCTCAACCAAGTGCACAGCTCAACCAAGTGCACAGCTCAACCAAGTGCACAGCTCAACCAAGTGCACAGCTCAACCAAGTGCACAGCTCAACCAAGTGCACAGCTCAACCAAGTGCACAGCTCAACCAAGTGCACAGCTCAACCAAGTGCACAGCTCAACCAAGTGAACAGCTCAACCAAGTGAACAGCTCAACCAAGTGCACAGCTCAACCAAGTGCACAGCTCAACCAAGTGAACAGCTCAACCAAGTGCACAGCTCAACCAAGTGCACAGCTCAACCAAGTGAACAGCTCAACCAAGTGAACAGCTCAACCAAGTGAACAGCTCAACCAAGTGCACAGCTCAACCAAGTGCACAGCTCAACCAAGTGCACAGCCCAACCAAGTGCACAGCTCAACCAAGTGCACAGCTCAACCAAGTGCACAGCTCAACCAAGTGCACAGCTCAACCAAGTGAACAGCTCAACCAAGTGAACAGCTCAACCAAGTGAACAGCTCAACCAAGTGCACAGCTCAACCAAGTGAACAGCTCAACCAAGTGCACAGCTCAACCAAGTGCACAGCTCAACCAAGTGAACAGCTCAACCAAGTGAACAGCTCAACCAAGTGCACAGCTCAACCAAGTGCACAGCTCAACCAAGTGCACAGCTCAACCAAGTGCACAGCTCAACCAAGTGCACAGCTCAACCAAGTGAACAGCTCAACCAAGTGAACAGCTCAACCAAGTGCACAGCTCAACCAAGTGCACAGCTCAACCAAGTGAACAGCTCAACCAAGTGCACAGCTCAACCAAGTGCACAGCTCAACCAAGTGAACAGCTCAACCAAGTGAACAGCTCAACCAAGTGAACAGCTCAACCAAGTGCACAGCTCAACCAAGTGCACAGCTCAACCAAGTGCACAGCCCAACCAAGTGCACAGCTCAACCAAGTGCACAGCTCAACCAAGTGCACAGCCCAACCAAGTGCACAGCTCAACCAAGTGCACAGCTCAACCAAGTGCACAGCTCAACCAAGTGCACAGCTCAACCAAGTGAACAGCTCAACCAAGTGAACAGCTCAACCAAGTGAACAGCTCAACCAAGTGCACAGCTCAACCAAGTGAACAGCTCAACCAAGTGCACAGCTCAACCAAGTGCACAGCTCAACCAAGTGCACAGCTCAACCAAGTGCACAGCTCAACCAAGTGAACAGCTCAACCAAGTACACAGCTCAACCAAGTGAACAGCTCAACCAAGTGCACGGCTCAACCAATTGCACAGCTCAACCAAGTGCACAGCTCAACCAAGTGCACAGCTCAACCAAGTGCACCCAATGTCAGCCATGGTCTGTCGGGAGAGGGGTTTGGCTGGAGGGATGGTCGGTGCGGAGGGGAAACCCCAATAAGGAAGATATCGGGCGTGGAAAAGGGGAAGGGAGGGTAGACGATGAATTTTGAGTCGACTCAAAAGTTGCTCGGTGCGGAGGGGAAACCCCAGTAAGGAAGATATAGGGCGTGGAAAAGGGGAAGGGAGGGTAGAAGATATGTGGTCGTTGGACATGCTGGGCTGGTGAGAGGTAGAGGTCTGGGGTGGTGATGGTTGGTGTGGGGTGGATCAACAAGGGGGAAGAGAGGGGAGGATGGTTGGGTATGGGGGGCGTCGGAGTTTGCTGCAAACGAATACGTCAGGGGACCCACAGCCACTGAATGATTAGTGCTTTGGTGGCAACACAAGCACCAATCCGCACATGGCTCAGAAGGAATAGTGCCACCAGCACTCAACATTAAGTCTGCCAGTGGTCTAGTGGTAGAATAGCACTATACTGTAAATAAAGAGGTAGAATAGCACCCTGCCATGAGTCTTGATTCATGATTCAATTCCCGGGTTCGATTCCTGGCTGGCACAGAATCTTGTTGTTTTTGCTTGTTAGAAATACCACACCCTTGTTTTCACTGTCTGGCCACCATCTACGGAGCAAATACATCATACTCCAGAACATGCAGAAGTGCTCCAAAGGACAGAACTAATCAACAGAGCTATCTATGGAGCAAGCAGATCATACCCCTAGCTTTTGAGGACACCTTCTCCATACATATCTCTTCATCCCAGCATCCACAACAACTGACACTCACACCATCAGTATGCAGCTTGTGGTGCGAACCTACCTTGTCCACCAACTCATAAACCATTAAGGACTTGAGCCAGAAGAGTGAAAAAAATACAGACCTGAAAAATGACCACGTGCCCGGGCAGTTTCTTGATTTCCAAACCACAACAAGACGGACGTCCCCATCTTGAAAACGCCACCCTAATCTGAGCCACCATACAACATGCTAGCGCACCCACTGAAAAAACAAACAGACTGAACAGAACCAAATCTCTCGCAATGAAAGCACCAGCTTGGCATCAACGAGCCGCACACGCCGCTCACCAACCCTTGACCATTCATCCCAGCACCATTCATCCCAGCACCATTCATCCCAGCACCATTCATCCCAGCACCATTCATCCCAGCACCATTCATCTCAGCACCATTCATCCCAGCACCATTCATCCCAGCACCATTCATCCAAGCACCATTCATCTCAGCACCATTCATCCCAGCACCATTCATCCCAGCACCATTAATCCCAGCACCATTCATCCAAGCACCATTCATCCCAGCACCATTCATCCCAGCACCATTCATCCCAGCACAATTCATCCCAGCACCATTCATCCCAGCACCATTCATCCCAGCACCATTCATCCCAAGCAAGGAAAGCATTACCTCAGCATTGACTGGCCTGTCAACGCTGACGGGCGGCCCAGCACCATGCAGCACAGCACCATGCAGCACCATACCGTGCAGAACCGCACCGTGCAGTAGACATGAGCACAAGAGCGAACACCTGTTCGGTTCGCCTCGAACATGTTCGAGACGAGCCGAACGTGCATTTTTTGCAAGAATGTTCGCCGAACATGTTTGATGATCAGCCGAACATGTTCGATGTTCGCGGATTTGGTGGGTATCTCGAGGAGGAGGAGGGGGGGGACGACGGGAGAGGAGCTGGCCCACTGAAAACACACTCTCGAACACGATATTCGCCCCCTATCACGAACCTTGAACACCCAAAAACTGCTCGGGCGAACCGAACCCCCTTCACATGTTTGTGCAGGGCGAACCAAACACGTTTGATGTTCGCCCGTTGCTCATGTCTACCATGCAGCACAGCACCATGCAGCACAGCACCATGCAGCACAGCACCATGCAGCACAGCACCATGCAGCACAGCACCATGCAGCACAGCACCATGCAGCACCACACCATGCAGCACCGCACCATGCAGCACCGCACCATGCAGAACAGCACCATGCAGCACAGCACCATGCAGCACAGCACCATGCAGCACCGCACCATGCAGAACAGCACCATGCAGCACAGCACCATGCAGCACAGCACCATGCAGCACAGCACCATGCAGCACAGCACCATGCAGCACAGCACCATGCAGCACAGCACCATGCAGCACAGCACCATGCAGCACCGCACCATGCAACACCGCACCATGCAGCACCGCACCATGCAGCACAGCACCATGCAGCACAGCACCATGCAGCACAGCACCATGCAGCACCGCACCATGCAGAACAGCACCATGCAGCACAGCACCATGCAGCACAGCACCATGCAGCACAGCACCATGCAGCACCGCACCATGCAGCACAGCACTATGCAGCACAGCACCATGCAGCACAGCACCATGCAGCACCGCACCATGCAGCACAGCACTATGCAGCACAGCACCATGCAGCACCGCACCATGCAGAACAGCACCATGCAGCACAGCACCATGCAGCACAGCACCATGCAGCACAGCACCATGCAGCACAGCACCATGCAGCACAGCACCATGCAGCACAGCACCATGCAGCACAGCACCATGCAGCACCGCACCATGCAACACCGCACCATGCAGCACAGCACCATGCAGCACCGCACCATGCAGCACAGCACCATGCAGCACCGCACCATGCAGCACCGCATCATGCAGCACCGCACTATGCAGAACAGCACCATGCAGCACAGCACCATGCAGCACAGCACCATGCAGCACAGCACCATGCAGCACCGCACCATGCAGCACCGCACCATGGAGCACAGCACCATGCAGCACAGCACCATGGAGCACAGCACCATGCAGCACAGCACCATGCAGCACCGCACTATGCAGCACAGCACCATGCAGCACCGCACCATGCAGCACCGCACCATGCAGCACAGCACCATGCAGCACAGCACCATGCAGCACAGCACCATGCAGCACAGCACCATGCCGCTTATTTCTTTCCCAGTAAGGCCATCCACTCTGCATGAACTGGCCTGTCAACGCTGATGGTCCACATACGCCCGTCACCCCCCCCTGACTATGCGGCATGGCAAGCACAATGCGGCATGGCAAGCACTATGCGGCCTGGCAGGCACTTTGCTGTGTGGAAGGAACTATGCGGCATGGCTGGCACTATGCGGCATGGCACTATGCGGCATGGCAGCACTATGCAGACTGGCACCATGCAGCCCAATCGGTTCCCAATGAGGGCATCAGCTCGGCATGACCTGCCTGTCAGTGCTGACATGCCGCATATGCCCGTCTCCAACCCGAGACCATGCAGCCTGGCACCATGCAGCCTGGCACATTGTCCCCAGGATGCTACCTGACCATGTGGCATGGAACCAAGCCCAACATCAGCTACACGCCACCTGAGTTGATCCCCCCCCCTCCAACCCTCCCGAGTCGACGACAGCGCCGTGCATTCATCGGTGTGGAACATGTAGTCCTTCTCTGGGTCTCATTCTTATGTCACAGCTTTGAGTTCATTCATTACATTCGCTTCCTTTAGAAGTCTCTCAGATGCAACGCATGCTACACTTACATGATCTTGAAAGAGCCAGAGCACCATTAGCACGCACCATGAACTCAAAACCTGAACACCCCAATCTAGGGCGCACTAAAATATACCCTCATGACTTCATGCATCCAAAAGCGTGCCAGTGGTCTAGTGGCAGAAACCGCATGGTGGTGTACGTCCCATCGCCATTGGGGAAGTGCTACCACGCCTCCTTTCACGCTGCATCACTCTCCTTTTTAAGCAGCAGATGCGAGAGACATTCCTTCCTCACCTTCAATTTGGCGTAGCAGTTCCGGCCGGGATCGAGATTATGTCGCACGCAGTGTGCTCCGCCTTCTCCCTTCATCCAGACTGGGTGGTGCTTCAGCTGGACGTTGCAAACGCGTTCAACTCGTTCAACCGGGTTTCCATGTTTGAGGCATTAAGGCGCTCCCCATTCTCCAGTCTCATTCCCTTCTTCCGCCTATTCTACTCCACCCCTTCACCTCTCCACTACCGCAGCGGCCCCCTTCTCCACACATTCCAATCAGCTTCTGGTGTTCGTCAAGGCGACCCTTGTGGCCCTTTCCTTTATGCCCTAACACAGCAGCTAGCCATCCAACCAACCCAGCAGCAGTCTCCCTCAATTTTCATTACCTCATACGCAGACGATACCTACTTGGTCGGCCCTCCCTCAGACGTCTTTGCCGCATACACTGACCTTACCTCCCGCCTTCTCTCTCTCGGCCTTACAGTCCAACCCTCTAAGTGCTCTCTATGGGCCCCTATGGACCTGCCCGAACACTGCATTCCGCCCCCGGGTATTTCCATCGCTGCAAACGGTCTCACTGTCGCTGGCGTTCCTACCGGCTCCGACGGTTACATCATCTCTACAGTTCGTGACAAACTCGATTCTTTCACTTCCTCCCTCCCCTTACTGCATCAACTGCAGGACCCACAGATTGCCTCACGGATCCTTTTTTTATGCATCACTGCCCGACCTTCTTTCCTCCTCCGAACTGTCGCACCTTTTCCCGAAATCCAAGAGCTACTTTCTTCATGGGACTGCACCATTTTCAGCCACTTCTCTCAGCTCCTGGGCTCTGAGTACTGGAATCCCACCTCTGAACAGTCCACATCGGCCCGCCTCCAAGCCTCGCTCCCTATCCGCTTAGGTGGCTTCGGCATTCGCAGCTCTGCATCCATCGCCCCCCTCAGTTACCTTTGTAGCTGGGCGCAGACAGTTTCGACCTTATCCACCCACTTCATCACTGATGGTGCTCCTCTTTTCCGCCCTTACGTCACCACGGACTCCATTAACCTCCTCGACCCTTCAATCTCATCCACCATGACCATGCTTCCCCAAGACATTCGTGATCGCTTCCCATCATGGCTTGTGCTTCAATCGGGCTACCCTCCTTAACTCTTTACTCATCTCTCCCAACACCTCGAAGCCGATTTGCTGGAGAAGGTTCGAGCCACAGTAACGTCCCCGCTTCGCCTTGCTCGTCTAACCTCTTTGCAGGGCCCGCATGCAGGTGACTGGCTCACTGTGGCTCCATCCTCCCCGCACATGCAGCTTTCAGAGACTGAATGGCGCATTGCAGCAGCTATCCGCTTAGGCCTTCCTCTTCCTCACCTTTCATCTTCACTCACCTGCACCTGCAACTCCCCGTTCACCGATCCTTCCATCCATTCTCATGTCCTTCGCTGCCCTAGCAACAACGAGCCTACTAAGGTGCACGACGCAATCAAACGAGAAGTTCATCGCATTGCCTTGGAGCTTGGGTTCTCTGCGCAGATGGAAGACCAGCATCTCCTGCCTGGCCGCCGCACAGACATCACTTGCCGCGATATTAGCTCTGGTACCACCTGGGCCTTGGATGTTTCTGTTGCTGATCCACAAAAGGGGTTTCCGCACTCCAACGCAGCTACGGTGATTGGTTCAGCAGCAGCCACTCGTGAAAGTGAGAAGACCACCCACTATGCTGCAGCACTTCGTGACCGTCCGGACATCAAACTGTTTCCCCTTGTCATCGAAACCTTTGGTTGCTTCGGCTCTTCGTTCAACAACTTCCTTCGCCAATGCAGCCGCAAAGGGGCGTCACAACTCCGCGACTTGAGTGGTGCCACAGATTCTCTTCCCCAGCTGTTTGAGACCAACTTCTACAAACGGATTTCTCTGGTCCATCAACGTGAGCAGGCTCGCACTGTTTGTCGTCGTGCACAAATTCGTTTTACCGAGGGCGTCAACCACGCACCACCCGAGGTGACTTCTCTTTCTGCAGCTGACTTTGCCTACTTGGGAGAGGACCATTGAGACATCACAGAGGCCTATTTTTAGGCCTCACAATAGGATTAGCCTGCATGTCTCTCCATACACTACGTCTCTGGATTTGCCTTGTATCCATTGTACATTTACTATAGTGTCAATAAAGAGGTAGAATAGCACCCTGCCATGTGTCCGGTGCAGATCCGGGTTCGATTCCCGGCTGGCACATTCGGCTTTGCTATTTTGCGGTTTGTTTGTGTGTGTTTTTTTTTTGTGGGGTGCAGAAGACATGCATCGTGTCTTAGAGGACAGGCAATCCCTCACACCGCCCTCTTCGTCCTCTCACTTACCGTTGGGGTGCAGCCAGTGGTGCAGGTCCCCTCGTTCCACCAGCTCATACACCAGAATCGCCCGGCTGTCCTCCATGCAGTATCCCAGCAGCTGCACCAGGTTGGGGTGCCTCAGACCGCCCAGCACTAGAATCTCCGCCTGTGGTGGCGGAGGAAGGAGAGGAAATGCATGGTGGGGAGGAAAGAAGAGGAATGGGTATGCGCAAGAGAGGTGCACAGCCCGGCTGTCCTCCATGCAGTACCCCAGCAGCTGCACCAGGTTGGGGTGGCTCAGACTGCCCAGCACTAGAATCTCCGCCTGTGAGATGGTAGATGCGGGATGGGGGGAGAGGGAATGGGGGGGGTGGGGATGCGCGGGAGAGGAGCGCAGCCTGACTGTCCTCCATGCAGTACCCCAGCAGCTGCACCAGGTTGGGGTGGCTCTGGTCCCCCAGCACTAGGATCTCCGTCTGTGGGGTGCGGGAGAGGGAGGTGCACAGCACTGAGCCACAGCAGTCCTCCATGCAGTACCCCAGCAGGCGCACCAGGTTGGGGTGGCTCAGGTCCCCCAGCACTAGGATCTCCGCCTGTGGGGTGAGCAGGCACGTTGAATAATGAGTCGACTCAAAAGTCAACTCCCCCCCCCTCCCCCCACCCCCCCCTCCCCCTTCCTCACTCAGTTCCCTCACTGCTCGCCAGGCAGGCACGTCACTTCACTGCTGGCACTCCCATCCCCCCAGGCCAATCCCCCTCTCCCACCGAAACGCCCCCCATTCTCCCCCTCATCCCCTTCCTCTCCTATCTCTCCCTCTTACCCTTCCCCTGCCATAGAATTGACCCCCCCGCTACTTACTGACTCATGCCTCTTGCTCGCTCCTAACCAGGCAATCATCATAAGCCTTCAAGCTGTCTGTGTAGAGAATCTTCCTACCTCCTCTCCCATTCTCCCAAGCCCATACTCACCCCCTCTCCTCCCCCGTCCTCTCCCCCTCTCCCCCCCCCCACCCCCCCCCCCCCCCCCCGCCCTCCTCCCCCCCACTTCCCCTCCCCCTCTTCCGCTCTCTTTCCCTGTCGTCTGCCGTCGAGGCAATTACTCCTTTCTCACTTGCCTCACTCTTCCGAACTCATTCACTACGCTCCCCACTCTCACCAGCCAGTCGTCAAACGCCTTGGCGCTGCCAGACAGCAAGAAGCACCTTCACCACCACCCCATTCCCCCACGCCCATCCCTCCCTTGCCTCGCTCCTCCCTACCCAATCACTCATTGGGCTCATTGCCCAATCACTCATTGGGCTCATTGCCCAATCACTCATTGCGCTCATTGCCCAATCGCTCATTGCGCTCATTGCCCAATCACTCATTGCGCTCATTGCCCAATCGCTCATTGCGCTCATTGCCCAATCGCTCATTGCGCTCATTGCCCAATCGCTCATTGCGCTCATTGCCCAATCGCTCATTGCGCTCATTGCCCAATCACTCATTGCGCTCATTGCCCAATCGCTCATTGCGCTCATTGCCCAATCACTCATTGCGCTCATTGCCCAATCGCTCATTGCGCTCATTGCCCAATCACTCATTGCGCTCATTGCCCAATCACTCATTGCGCTCATTGCCCAATCACTCATTGCGCTCATTGCCCAATCACTCATTGCGCTCATTGCCCAATCACTCATTGCGCTCATTGCCCAATCACTCATTGCGCTCATTGCCCAATCACTCATTGTGCTCATTGCCCAATCACTCATTGCGCTCTCGACTCTCACCAGGCAGGCAGTCATCAAAGCACCTTCACTTCACACTGTCCGTGTAAAGCACTTTCCCCACCACCTCTCCCATCCCATTCCCCCAAGCCAACCTTCTCCCCCTCTCCTCCCCGCTCGGTCCCCACTCTCCCCCTCCTCTGTCCCCTCTTTCCCAAAAGAAGCCGATTCAAAACCGAGGTGAGTAAGATGTCTCAATCACTCCTTTTCCTGGCCTCGCCTCTCACCAGGCAATCGTCAAATGCCTTCACGCTGTCAGTCAGTGTAAAGCACCAGGCTTCACCGCCCACCCAATTCCCCCACGCCCATCGCTCCCTTGCCTCACTCCTCCCTCCCTACTCACGCATTACCATCCCCCCTCACCAGGCAGCCATCAAACGCCTTCACGCTGTCCGTGTGAAGCTCCTTCCCCGCCCACGTCTCCCATCCTGCCCCCCTCTGCCCCCCCACAACACCCCTTCCCCTCCCCCCTATCATCCCTTCTCAGACGCTCTCACCAGGCAGTCATCAAATGCCTTCACGCTGTCCGTGTGAAGCACCTTCACCGCGACCTCTCTCTTGCTGCCACATGGCAGCTCTCCCAGCCACTCGTCCACCTGCCCGCGAAAAACCGTCCCGAAGCTGCCCTTGCCCAGCTGCAGGGACGCGTTGAAGTAGCCCGCTGCGTGGTATAGCTCGCTGTAGGAGAAGCGCTGAAGGGGAGGAGGGGTGGATGAAGGCCCTTGCCCATCTGTAGAGAGAGAGGGTTAGGGGGGTAGGGTGTGAACGGATGGGGAAGAGAGAGGGAGAGTAAGGCCCTGCCCTTGCCCAGCTGCAGGAACGCATTGAAGTACCCCGCGCCGCCTGGTATAGCTCGCGGTAGGAGAAACGGCGCAGGGGAGGCGGGCCGGAGGAAGGCTGGCTGTGCGCTGCTGGTGTTACAAAAAGAGGGGAGAACGGGGGTTGGGTCTAAGTTGCCATATACGCTTATAGCGTATATACGCTCATCGTATATACGCTAGCGTATGCACGCTATCCGCTTAAGGGGTCACTTTGGCCATACGCTATTTCGGGCAGTGAAAAACTTTTCCCGGGCAAGGGAAAAAAAGCCCGAGGGATGTTTGAGGGGGGGTATGTTGGGGGTTTCGGCTGTGTGATTTTTTTTTTTCCCATAATATGATTCCGACACGATGCGGCCATGCTACAATAATGCTCTCCTACCACCACGACTAAGACATGAGAACATAAACCAGCCTCCCCGCAACATTCCACATGCCCCCCCACACCTTAAACCTTGTTCTATGCATACTCGTCTTCCAGCACGTCATCCTCACCTTCCTCCTCCTCCACCTCCGTCTCATCCAACCCGTTGTACCCCTCGGGGATAGGAGGCTCGTCCCCAATCCCTGGCACAAGGTTCGGCATTACATCTGCGCGCGAGTGCCAGTTGCGCACAACATTCCAGTTGTGTGCAACAAAAACCAGGTCCTGGCACTTTGCAGATCCGAGGCGGTTCCGGCGGGCTGTGTGGACTGCATCCCAAGTTCCCCACCCACGCTCATAAGGGGATGCCGATACAGGCTGAGAGAGCACCCTCACGGCGAGAGACATCAGGTGAGGTGCATCTGTGCCGTTCCACTGCCACCACTTCACCATGCTGTATTTACCCGCCTTCACCTTCGCCCTTTGTGCAAGCGCCTCCGGCATCCCGAAACTTCCTTTCAGGTCCAAGAAAGCCCTCAGCCCGTCACCCAAGGCAAGCAAGTAATCAACACCCTCCTCCCTCCCCTTCCCGTCGTGGCCGATGAGGAACTCCACGTGCTGGTTGATAAATGCCTTGAAAACCCGGGTGCATTCGGCGTTGCTGCCGAAGATGTCCTCCTCCTGGTTGGCGGGGTTGAGGATTCGGCCAGCAACGTGCATGGCGCAGGCGAGGTTGTTATCCCAACGGTTCTTGATGATGCGACGGATCTGCACCTTGTCCGTGCTACTCAGCTGCTGCTCATCCTCGTCCAAGAGGTTGTTGACATCCTCCGTAAGCTGCAGCATTACATCGTAAAGCCGGCCCATCATCCCCTTGGCATCTGCGCCCGTTTGCCGCATCGCCTTGTAGGGCAGTTTCATCAGCTTGCAGAAGAATTCAGCTGTCCGCCACCATGTGCCATCGAGGACCCGAACAGCAAAGGTCTCGGCAGCTTCCTTCCGCGACCCCACGGCCCACTCCTCCCACCTGTCGGTAAGTACCATCGCGTACAGGGTGCTAAGCAACTCACAAAGGCGGGACACAGCAATGTACTGTGTCCCGAACCGTGTTCCCGCCGGCTTCAGCGGCTGCAGCACCTTCCCCTCCACCAACTCCGGGGTCCTCAGGTAAGCGCGCGTCCAATGATGGTTGCGCACGAACGAAATCATCTCCCCAGTCCGATCCACCACCCCTTTTGCCCACCCCATCTTTCCCACGTCCTCCTGGAGGAGATCCATCACATGCGTGGCATAAGGGACCTGCTGAATGTGGGGCCACTTGGCAATCAGCTCCTGGATAGCCACGGCATAGTTCGATCCCCCATCCATACAAAACGCGACCACATTTTCTGGTCCTACCTCCTCCACCACCGGCTGCAGAATCCCCGCTACGTATCCCCCCGTCTTACGCTCCATACCGCAGTCGATCGCCTCCTTGAAGACGGCGCCGGAGTCGTTAATCAGAAGGACGTTCGCTTGCGCCCTCCCACATTTGTCCGTCATCATGTCGGACGCAATTGTTACCCCCGTCTTCTTCCAGCTCGTTTTAATCCCCATCAGCCCCTGCTCAATCCCTTTGCGGACAGCGACTAGTCCAGCCCCGCCAATGAAGCTCCTCTTGGGGGGGACGTAGCCGGGGCCGGCGCGGTTGACGAGCAGCATGGCGTTGACGAACAGCGGGTGGTTTATGGTGATCTCCGGGATTCTGCAGGCCGCAAACATCAGCGCAAGGCCCTCGTGAGCATCCCGCTTAGCCGCAGCAGCATCTCCCTCCAAGTAGTCGGTTATGCGCCGCTTCCCACCGCTAGCCTGGACCGCCGCAACCGCAGCAGATGTTGCTCGGCGCTTTTCCTCGTTCGCGGCAGCCAGGTTTTCATATTTGGTGCGCATCTCCTTGCGTACGTCTTGCGGTGCCTCTTTGCAAAGCATCACCTCGCGACGCTTCATTCCCTTCCACGAGCTCAGGTGCTGCGCGCAACGAATGACTGCACCGGTGAAAACATTGAAGCAGTACTTACACTCGTACTGCTGTGCTTTGCCTTCAACCCGCTTAATGATGCTGAAATGTTTGAAGACAGCGTGGTCCATGACGGGAAGGTACTCCCTACCCTCACGTTGAACACTCCGGGAACTCTGCACTGTCTGAACGGATGGCGGTGTGCATGGCGGGCTTGACATAATGAACGAGACGGGAAAATGATGAATTGCGTAGTTGCGTGCAACCAACTAAATAGCACAACGAGAGAAGGGAACATTGAGACAAGTGGTTGGAGAGAGAAGATGGGTGGGGATTGAATGCGGTAACAAACAGAGCGCACAATGTGTGAACGTGAAAATGCGACTTGTAAAATTGACACCACCAATCGCGACTATGTGGGTTGAACCCACGTCCACGATTGGACGAGTCACGTACGTGCAATTCGCCTTCGGCAAAATGCACGCCGTGAAATTCCGCATCTTTCCGTATATTCGAATTTTTTTCCGCCCGGGCTGCCCCAAAACAAATTTGTCGAGTGTATAGCGGATTCGCTTGCGTATAGCGTGTTGCGTGTATACGCAAGCGGATATCCGCTAAACGCAAACAGGTCTGAGCGTTTTTGGCAACTTAGGGTTGGGTTGGGTGTGGGGAAGGAGAGGCGGAGAGAGGGGGGAGGAAATGAGCCGGCTTAGGTGCAGGAATCAGGGATGCGTTGAGATAACCCGCCGCCTGCTGCAGCTCACGATAGGAGAAGCGGCGCAGAGGAGGCGGGTTGGAGGAGGGCCCTTGCCCCGCTGCTGCAGCCAGGAGGGAGAAGAGAGGGGGAGGGTAAAGCCCTTGCCTTGCCCAGCCGCAGGGCCGCCGCGTTGAAGTACCCCGCCTGCCGCCTGCTGCAGCTCGTGATAGGAGAAGCGGCGCAGGGGAGGAGGGTCGGAGGAAGGCCCTTGCCCCGCTGGGAGGGAGAAAAAAGGGGGAGAGTGGGGGAGAGTGGGGGGAGTAAGGCCCGTGCCTTGCCCGGCTGCAGGGCCGCGTTGAAGTGCCCCGCTGCCTGCTGTAGCTCGCGATAGGAGAAGCGGCGCAGAGGAGGGAAGCTGGGGGGAGGCTGTCTGTGCGCTGCTATTGGCAGAGAGGGGAATCATTGTGGGGTTCGGGAGGGGGCGAGGGGGTAAAGGGTGGGGTGGAGGGAGGTGGGAGGGGGCGTGTTTGGGAAAGCGGGTAAAGGGTGTTGCGTGCGAAGAGAGGCAGAAGAGAGGGAGAAGAGAGGGAGAAGAGAGGGAGGAGAAAGGGGAGAGAGGAAGAGAGTAAGCCCCTTTTCCAGCACCAGAGACGCGGTAGGAGAAACGGCGCAGGGGAGGGGAGGGGGGCAGGAGGAAGGCTGGCTGTGCGCGATGGGGACACAGAGGGGTTTGGGAAGCGAGGGTGGGGTGGGGAAAAGGGGAAACAGAGGCGCGATTGGGGGAGGGGGAAGAGAGAAAGAAGACATGGGGGAGGGAAAGGCCTAGCTGCAGAAAGGGTGCATGAGAATACCCCCGCCGCCTGCTGCATCCTGCCCTGCATCCTGCCCTCGCGTCTCACGCGCTGCAACACCCGTGGCTCGCCGCCGGCGCGTCTCGCGCGCTACAGTAGCTTCTGAGGCTATGAGGCTCGCCGCGTCTCATGGTACAAATCTGACTCTGAGGCTTTCGGAGAAGGCTCGCTTCGTTCGGGACCTGCTGCTGCTACTATCGGCGGAACTCATACGAAATCACTTTTGATGATTCTCAAAAGTGACAAACCAACATTTCGAAACGCTTTCTGTACTTGGTGGAAATGTGGAACACGGAGCCTGCTGCATCTCGCTTGGGGTGTGATCTAGCAACATGTCTGAGTTTCGCGAACCAGGATTCGGAATGTCCCCAAAGAACTCGTGTTTCTACCCGAGCACCACGTGCAGCGGGAGAACAAGGCGAAACTCGTGCACGAGAAACGCAAAACAAAACTCGAACGCGGGATAATCAATCTTGGTAGCACTATGGCTCACGCCACGAAGTGCTCTCGCCGAGCTCGCCGCATCACTGGTCTGGTGCTGTGAGAAAGATCTCGCCACATGCGATCAGGCCAGAACCGACCTGCGCCATTCCCGCGCACAGCCGAGCGCTTCGAGGGCGTCGCGCCGAAGCACCCACAGCACGCAACGGCGTCATCATCGTGCATGCCGCGCGACGGGAACGACGACGACGACGACGACGACGGGAACGATGACGACGGGAACGACGACTCGCAAAGCGGTAAAGGACGTTGGTTATCTTGTCGGATTCGCTGAATCGACGAACATTTCGTGGCTTCACTCGGTGAGTTCTGCGTCTGTCTGGTGGAGGAACTGGGAACGCAAAATAGTGGTTGAACTAGGAAATGATGATGCGTGGCTTTTACGAAATCAAGGTAATCAGCAGCATATTTAGAGTAATGAACTTGGACACGAAACTATATGGTCTAATTGACCCTAATCTGTTACAGTGGATGAAGAACACAATGACACGCCTGGCAAAGGAACAAATAAGCCTCCACGAGCTGGGGCACTCGGACTTCCGTAGTGGAACAACGTTTGCTAAAGACGCTTCCAAGCCTTCGATTTACAGCAGCCTCACGTGAGCAAGACAAATTGAGTTGAGCCCTGCTGCGACGCTACATTGATAGCCTGGCGCACTGGCGCCCCGTTTTCCTCCTCCAACG